CCATGACGCCAGGAGCAAGGGGCCCATGGCAAGCACGGGCGGGGAGCGGGTGCGTGGGTGGTGGGGGTAAGGGCGGAGGGGAGCCGTGGGGCCAGAATCCATGAGAGGCATGGGCGGCGGGGCAGGGTGCGTGAGGGGTGTGAGGGGTAAGGGGTAGGGAGCTGGGTCCATGAGGGGTAGGTCAAGGGGATGGAGAGTGGGAGCATGGGCCAGAGGAGAGTGGGCGGAGCTGGAAGGGCGGAGGGCGGAGCGGGCGGAGGGCCCGGGCGTGCACTGGGGCCCTTTAAAGTCAGCTGAAAAGCCACGGGCCAGGAGCCATGGGTTCAGTGGGGGGCGGGGTGCGTGGGGGGTGGGGGTAGGGGTTGGAAGTGTGGGTGGGGGTTGGGGGTTGGGGGTGGCAGGATGCGTACGGTATGGGGGTGGGGGTTGGGGGTTGGGGTGGAGCAGGGGCCATAATAGGACCAGCGTTGGCAGCCATGCAGGTCGAGGGATGAAGAATGTTGACGCCAGGAGCAAGGGGCCCATGACAAGCACGGGCGGGGAGCGGGTGCGTGGGTGGTGGGGGTAAGGGCGGAGGGGAGTTGTGGGGCCAGAACCCATGGGTCCATGAGGGGCATGGGCGGCGGGGCAGGGTGCGTGAGGGGTGTGAGGGGTAAGGGGTAGGGAGCTGGGTCCATGAGGGGTAGGTCAAGGGGATGGAGAGTGGGAGCATGGGCCAGAGGAGAGTGGGCGGAGCTGGAAGGGCGGAGGGCGGAGCGGGCGGAGGGCCCGGGCATGCACTGGGGCCCTTTAAAGTCAGCTGAAAAGCCACGGGCCAGGAGCCATGATTTCAGTGGGGGGCGGGGTGCGTGGGGGGTGTAATTGGACCAGCGTTGGCAGCCATGCAGGTCGAGGGATGAAGAATGTGACCAACACCAATGGGGCCAGGAGCCATGGGTCCAGTGGGGGGGCGGGGTGCGTGGGTGGTGGGGGTGGGGGTTGGAAGTGTGGAAAGGGTGGGGTGTTGGGGGTGGGGTGACGCCAGGAGCAAGGGGCCCGTGACAAGCACGGGCGGCGGGGCAGGGTGCGTGCGGGGTGGGGGTGGGAGTTGCGGGTGGGGGTGGAGCAGCTCAAGGGATGAAGAATAGGACCAGGAGCCATAGGTCCATGAAAAGCATGGCGGGGTGCGTGGGGGGCTTGGGCAAGGGGAATGTATGCGGAGCGGGAAGGGCGGATGGGCGGGGAGCGGGTGCGTGGGTGGTGGAGGTAAGGGCGGAGGGGAGCCGTGGGGCCAGAACCCATGGGTCCATGAGGGGCATGGGCGGCGGGGCAGGGTGCGTGAGGGGTAAGGGGTAGGGAGCTGGGTCCATGAGGGGTAGGTCAAGGGGATGGAGAGTGGGAGCATGGGCCAGAGCTTTGGATGGGGTGGAGTAGGTGGTAGGGGCAATGGGTCTTCACTGACGCCGCCCCCGGCTGGGGTCGGCGGATATATATGTATGTGTATATATTAAAACAAAGTACAATAATATTATACAGTGGAATAGAGTATCATAGAACACAATATCGTATAGTATACCTTTGTATCATAAGAATATAAGAAATCGTTATAAGAAAGCGTATATGTATATATTTAATGCTATTTAATGCTATTTTATATAAAATTCATAATACACAATACATATTTATTGTTTGTTTGGCGCCGGGCAAGCTTGTTCAACGCGTATGAATCCCTTCCAAACCCATGATGCGAGCATTGTGTTTGCAAATGGGGCCCGCTGTTTTTGAAAGCCGGGCAAGCTTGCTTCAAAGCATATGAATATCCTTTCCAAACCAATGATGCGAGCGTTGTGTTTGCCAATGGGGGGGGGGGCCTGCGCCCCCCCCCAACCCGCCCGCTGTTTTCTTAGTCCCGGCAAGCTTGCTTCAACTTTTTCGCATAATATAACAATACACAAAATACAACAATTTTCAAGTATATACAAGAAGAGGCAGCAATATACACGTAAAACAAAAGTAACTTACAACAATTTTCAGTAATTGACCATAGTATTCAATAATCGACAACAATATACAATAATATACAAAAAGATTCAATAATATACAACAATATATACAATAATTTTGGAAAATATACAAAAATATGCAGTAATATAGAAAAGCACAAAAACTCAATGACTTACAATAATGTAACATAGTATACAATAATATACAATAATAGACATAATATACACTAACATACAATAATATACTATAATATAGAATAATCTGCAATAATATACAAAGAAAATTCAACAATATACAATACTGTACAGTAATCTACAAAAAAGAGAATAATACACAATAATTTTGAAAATATACAATTACATTCAACAATATGCAACAAATATAAAATATTATACAAAAACACAAGAAAACACACGACAATACAGTAATATTCAACAATATGTATGATGTGCGTGAACCCCCAAAGATATGAAATACAAGTACTAATGAATGAAGGAGAAAGAGGATACAGATAATAAATGGGAAGAAGACTCCATGAAAATATTATTAAAAGCCTGTTCACGGCCCCAACAACTGCCAGGGATTATTCGCTTATTGACTCGCGGACATAAACCGTGCATTTCCAACACTACTTCTTTGGAAATCTTATTACAAGACAATATGCAAAAATATGCAAGAATATACAATGTCATACAATACTATACAAGAATATACAATACTATGCCATAATATACATGCTTCAGAGTATACGCATTTTTTGGAAACTTCTAATGCCAAGATGCCAGCATTGATTTGCAGCCTCTGCAAACTCAGAAATGCTGCTATTTACAGTATTTCCAGCCTCTGAAATCGCAGAAATTCTGCTATTTTCAGTATTTGCAGCCTCTGGAAACTCAGAAATGCTGCAGTGTACAGTATTTCCAGCTTCTGAAAGCGCAGAACTGCTGCTATTTACAATATCTGCAGCCTCTCTGGGAACTCAGAAATGCTGCTATTTTCAGTAGTTCCTGCATAAATGCTGTGTTTTTTCGGTATTTAGAGCTTGCGAACGGCCAGAACTGCTGCATTTCTGCGCGTTTACGGCCTCCGCTTCGCTTGCAAGAAGCCTTCAAAGCCTTCAGTAAATTATTTTTTGATCCCAAATAAGTTTTTTTTTATCCGCCTAGAAAAAAATTTTTTTTGATCCCAAATAACTTTTTTTTTGATCCCCTACCCCACGTTGCAGTCCGAAGGCTCCCCATCCCCATGAGGCTTGCCCCCAACCATCCAGAACGGCGGAGCAAGCGGCCCGAAAGCCTACAATGTGGGGTGAGCTTTGCTTATTGCATTGCAAGCACTCTCTGCATACAAAATCGCTCACGCACCACATAGCCAGATTTCATCAGATGTCGCTCTCTCTCTCTCTCTTTCTCTCTTGCTCTCGCTTTTTCTTTTCCCCCAAACAGTCTACTGTTGGGGCTCTAAATTTCATTTAAGGATTGCCGACGTTCTGAGGACTGTTGCCGGGTTCCTGGGCTCCCTTTGTCTCCCTTTGTCTCCCTTTGTTGTCTCCCTTGTCTCCCTTTATCTCCCGTTGTCTCCCTTTGTCTCCGCCGGGTTGCTGTGCTCCTCGACTCCCTTTGTCTCCCTTCGTCTCCCTTTGTCTCCCGTTGTCTCCACTGTTTCTTTGATTTGGGGTTTTCGGTGGTGTGATCTCTCCCTCTCTCTCCCTCTCTCTCCCTCTCTCTCCCTCTCTCTCCCTCTCTCTCCCTCTCTCTCCCTCTCTCTCCCTCTCTCTCCCTCTCTCTCCCTCTCTTCTCTTTCCTTCCCTCCCCACAAGAACAGGCAAAGATTCGTGGAGTGTGACGGCCGAAGCCTTTGCCAGGTGTGCGCGACGTGGGCCGTCTTGATCTGGGGGGAGCTAAGCGGTGCCGGGACGAAGACAAGCTGTTCCTTGGCACTCCGTTTTCAGAGCCCAAAGCAACCACCAAAACAGAACAGGCAGAAGAGGGCTGCCTTTTTGTTGCAAAGTCGACTCACGCAGAGGCCTTTTCGCCTTCATGCTGATGGCTTTCGCTTCTGCGGTGGCGCTCTTCCTGATCGCCGGGCTGGAGGGCTGATGCTTACGGCGCCCGTCGCCCGCGCAGCACGATTACATTCCTAAACACCCCCCCCCCCCCATATCCGGCGCATCACTGTGAGGGTCCGCGCGTGTCTGTGGCTTATTATAACACAGCGGCAGCTTGCGCTCAGGTGGCCTTGCCAGGTGCCATCGAACCAGCTTTCTGAGGCCACGCATGTGACATTTTCAAGGCTGGAGCCACCTGTGCTCTTTACTCTTGCAAGCTTCTAGCATGAAGCCAAAGATCCATCCGCAAATGCACAAGTGAGGCTGACACAGGTCAGTCCACCACCAAACCAGTAACACTAGACTCTCCACATGTGATGCCGATAGTACCCGTAACCCCGACCTCAGCGTCACCTCTTGCACGCCACAAAGTTGGGCAACCAGACGCTACCAGGGGGCCAATTGTAAAAACCTTTCTTCCCAGTCTGCCAGGGTCAGTGCCTTTTGCCCTTGAGATGTGAGAATGACCTAACTGCCTCCTTGAGGCTCCCTCTGGGAGTACTTCCATGCAGAAACGGGGGAAGCCTTCATAATTCATCCTTCCGAGATCCACTCGCCATCGGTTCCACCACTGCCACATGACATGCCGGCAGCGTTAGAGCTTCGGACAATATACCAATCGACGGGCAGAGTACAAAACTGCGTTCATCAACCGGTCCAGGCTATATGGGCAGGCATTGCACTTGCTGATCACTGTCCCCATACATCCCCATACTGTAGTTCTCCATATAGTCTTGTGCCATACGACGAAGTATCCCCGTCGAACGCACAGGGTTGTAGGAGAGCCTAAGTGGATCAGGGAGTGACGGGCAGGGTTCACCGACAGCTGCAACGTGACTGTTGCAACTCTTAAAACAAAACCGCAATAACCATAGGAACTGTAGGGACATGATGTGGTATCGAAGCCGCCATGGAAGACACAGAAGTCATTGACGATGCGGACCTTTGCTCCTCGGGTTCGGAGGCTGTTGCCCGGCCCCCATGTCGCTGTCGGCGCTGCAGATCTAGCCCGTATTCGTCCTCCTAAACCTTTGAAAGCCTTGCGACTCCAGGTCGTGGAGGCGGCACCTCGAGAGCATGCCAAAGAGCATGCGAGAGCGAGCAAGACTGCTGATAGCTCCAGGCAAAAGCGGGATGCGCCGCGCCGCTTGGCTTGGCGAAGCCTTATCATTGAGCAGCTTGGGAACTTTCAAAATTCAACCGTTGACACTTGTTGACATGACGTGTGAGGAGACAAGTCTCGGCAAAAGCGGGTGCAGGCTCAGCTGGAGGCGAAGCTGCAGGCGATGCCCCTTCCCCCAGGCTGGATTCGCGTGGCTTCTAAGTCCAAGCCCGGGGCCTTCTACTACGCTCACCCGGCCAGCAAGCGCACTCAGGCCAGACTCAAGCCTCGAAGACTCGCAGGATGGGCGTGTGTGAGCTACGTGAACCTGTGTGAATCCATTCCAGGCGCACCCGCCCGCCACCATGTACGAGGGCCTTCCGAATCCAGAACCGTCCCAAGTGATGCCGAAAAGGCCGGTTCGGCTGAAGTTCAGCTGTTTTTTTCAGTGTAAATTTCAACCGTTCACTGTTTTATTGGCTCCACGTGTCCCAAGTGGGTCCAGTTTTGTGCATCTCGTCTTGGCTGCTGTGCCTTTGAATCACTGCAGGGACATCGTGCAGGACGCAGCGGATGCAGCTCGCAAGGTTCACGGGAGTTGCTCGGGTTTGCCATGCCGCTGTCCTTGTTCCCGTCCATCGAGTACCCCCGGACTTCCTATGTGGAGACACATGTCATGTGTCTTACTTTCTCTCCGTGCTTGAAAGTTGGGTGCCTTTTCCTGTCACAGTTTCCTGCGGGTTCAACACGCCATGTCAAGGCGGAAGCGAAAAAGAAGGAGCAGGAAGCCGAGGTGCGCGCCCTCAGCCGTGGCCGGCGGATGCTTTCTTCAAAGCTTCATGTTGCCAGGGGAAGAGCTAACAATGGCTATCAGAACATGAGACAACAAAGCCCTGCAACTCTAACATTGTCTAGCATTCTGAAGGAGGAGAAGGCGCGCATCGCAGCGAAGCAAGAGGCGGCGCGCATGCGGCGCAAACGTGATGAGGACGGGCTTTGCGATCGTTTCCCACAAGTATACATGACGTACAAGTACCATATGTATGCGCGCACATACTATATATATATATATACATATTATGTATGTGAACACACTTGCCCCTTATGTGTCCTTCCATTGACATAAGAGTTATATAAAGACTTGGTGCAACCCTATGCCAAGCAACCTTAGCAGCAACACTCCAAGAGACGACTGAGCGTCGAGGGCGTCGGCCGAAAGGCTTGGCTGGTACTAGTCGGGGCCAAGGAGGTGTAGCTCTAGTTGAGCTCAGTGTTGTCGCCCTTGGCTTTCTTCGCTGCAAGCTGCAACCCTGGCGCAAGCTGGAAGCCTAATCCCCTTAAAACAGGCGCTGCGCAAAGCGGATGAGGAAGCAAAGCAGGTCCGCCTGGGGCCAGGCTAAAAGGATTTTTGATTGAGAGAAGCTTCCTCTGAGGTTTGTGAGTTCGGTTGGGCCTTAACTTATTTGGAGGGGTCTGGGTTGCGCAAGGTTTTCCGACTGTGATTTGGTCTCAAAGGGGACCCCAGCACACTGCTCATCTTGCCCATCACTGTCTTGCCATCCTGACTACAGTAGCATCCGCTTTATTTGGTAGTCGCGATCGTCCTGGCCATCCTTTGTACCAGTCTGATCCGTCTGTGTCTCGTGCTCAGCAGTGGGCTTGGTGGGCTGGCCTGAGAAGTGTTCGAGGGTTCTCGCATGCTTAGCATCCGATCCCAAACCTACTCGGGCCAATTCCCTTAGTCGACGGCCAGGAGGCTGCAGGAGCAGAAGAGGTCATCCGAGCCTTGGATATTTTGCATTCACCGGCCGAATTTAAACATCAGCCGCATGAGCAGGCTGTGCCCCCTTCCCCTCGTTGCATGGACGCGGCGGGGGTCAGGGTTCAGAATTCGTTGCGGCTTGGGGTCATGTAATGTGGGTGGATTCATGGCATATACTTGTAGGTTGAATTGGTTTTCGGGATGTTGGGGTGTGGGCTTCAGATGTTCAAGCCCGTCCACCTCGAGCCCACCCAGGAAAGGCACGTGAGAAGCGAGCCTTAGCGCCGAAGGAGACCTTTGAGGAGGCGGGGGAGGGGGATTGTTAGGGTCCCTTCTGGGTTCTTGAAGACTAAGCACAAGCAAGGGGGTTTGTTTGTTCAAGTGGACTTTCCAAGCGCCTTATGAAACGCGGCCTTCTCATGAAATGTCCTCAGATCCTCAAGAACTGCCCAAGGTCTCCGAGCGAAGAGAGAAACGGAAAGCCACAGGCTGGTGGGAGGGAGGGGGGGGCAACGCTTTCACTAAGTTAAACGCCGATGAACACTTCGGCGCTTGGGAAAGACGCGATGAGAGTTGGGCACATGCAGGTGGCATCCATTTCGACACCACGAAGCCGGCGGAGGCGGAAGAGCAGCAGACAGGGAGCGACTCCGAGGACAGAGCCGGACCGGGCCGAACAGGGTCCGCAAAAGCATCGGCTTTACTTGGGGAGTGAAGCACGAGAGGTTGGGAGTCACGGCTCATAGAGGCTAGGGTCAGGATGTTTGGGCGTCCTCGGTTCGCTGCTGGTGTAGGAGCTCGACCTCTATCGGTTGCGTGACAAGCGTCTCGGCTGAAGTGGAATGCTGTGACGATGAGGGAGCTGTTCAGGTTGGGTTTGGAGATGCTTGGTGATTATTGTTTCTCCTTGTTGCAAGGTTCCTGAATGCTGAGGAGCCTTGGCTCACCCCGATCGACTGAGGTTTCGTGCCAGCGTGGCGGCGGCTTCGGCGCCGGTCTTCGACGACTCGGAGGCCATGGCTCCAGGATGCCTTCGTCCAGAAAAGGTTTCAGAAAGGCTCTTAGGGAGATGACTGATTGCCTTGTTCACAAGCTCCCAGGTGGCCGAAGCTCCGCCTCCGCCGCCGCCGCCGCTGCCCCCGCCCCTTCCACCGCCAAAGCCCTTGGAGAAGAGCAAGAAGGAGAAGAAGCAGGACAGTCGGACCGCCGTATGACAGCTAGAGGCTGAGCGCGAAGCCCAGGGTTCCGAGCATGCGTTCACTTTCACTTCTCTTTCCTTTTCAATAGTTTCAATACCATCTCCGCGCCAATCATATTTACATGTTTCCGGCGCAGCGGAGTGAACGAAAGTCCGATTCTTTGCAGCTTTGTTGGGAACTCTCTTGACAAGGAACCCACCCACATCACCCCAACATCAGGCTTCTGGACGTTCCCCTGCTCATTGCACATGCAGAGGTGCCAGCTCAGTGCAGCCGGAAGCCGAAAAGGTCTATGTTTTCGCATGCTCCCAGAGCGAAGAGAGCAGATTAAGTATAGAGTCTGCGTCTCCTCCTATGATCCCTCGATTTTTTATTTTCTATGCCATGAATGCCAGAGACGGGGTCTGGGCACTTCCCGCAGTGACAGAACTTCAGCTGAAGAGCAGGTGCGGTGTGTGTGGGCACACCAACATGTGCAAGGAAGAGGTGCCAGGGCATCAGCCGACCCTCCGAGAGCTCTTACGGGTTTGCATCAGTGTGATCTCAGGTGCAGGCGAGATGCTCTTGCACCAGATTTGCTTTGCACCGTTGAGGTTTCCAAAAAAAAACTGCAGAAGAGCACAACATGACTGCAAAGGAGCACACGTCACCAGCAGCACCAGCGCTGTTTCCCCCCTGTGCTGTGTAACAAGTCACACCTCGAGTGTACGGGTGGTAAGGGTTATGCTTACTTGCGGATGCAACATGACTGCCATATTTCAGTGCCCACAACACAACGAGCACTTCGCTGTAAACATTCGATTTGTGGTGTGCGCAGCGGGCAGTCGCTTGCTATTGCATGCCTCTTTCTCCAGGAGAAGAAGGCCATGCAGAAAGCCTTGCTGAAATCGATGAGCAAGGCCTGATTGGAGTCGATATCCGAGAATTCCTAGCATGTCCTAGCATTCCCATGTCCATGTGGCACATAGCAAGCCACAGGGGACCTGATGACGATGCCTTTAACTTGCTGGGGGTGCGACCTGACAGCCAGGAGGAGAGGAAGCAATTCAAGAAGCTGAAAAAGAACCTCATTCGGCATCGTCTTTTCTGCAGCAGATTCGGGTGGTACGCGTAGGGTTGCAGACTGGAGCTTGGCCCGCTCTAATCATGAAGATCTGGCTGAGGATGCAAAAGCTCCAGGCGAAGGTTGCCAAAGCTGAGAAGGCCCGATCACGTTCCAAAGTTCCCTGACTTGTCACATCTGAACAAGTCTCAACATCCCTCAACAGATCTCAACACAACTGCACTGACATCTTGCTTGTGCATGCCCACACTCTGAGGCACTCAAGAAGTCGGAGAAGCTCCTGAGGAGCTGCGTGCAGAGGGCCGCCGTTGCGCTGAGCAGACGGTGAATCCATAGCGTAGCTTTGTGGGCTCGGGGGGAATCGAAGCACCGAAGGAGATCCAAGCATGGTGGCAGCCCTTCTAGCTCATCCTCTTCATCCAGCTCTTCTTCGAGCTAGGTGGGGCTGAAGCTACCAAGTCGCTTCTAACCCCTGTACTAGATCACCCGCCGGACTGCAAACCTGCGGATGCGAACCAATGTTGTTTTTGGCCAATGCTCACCCTAAGTCCCTGCAAAGGCTCTCTGAGTGCATGGCCTTTGAGCAGACCATGTTGAGCGAGGAAGGGCTAAAACAGCAGCGAGTTTGGAAGCTGTGAGTTTCGGCTTGCTGAATACTGACACTCCCGTGTGTGTGCGATTTGGAGGCGTTTTTGTGCAGGGCCAGGCAGTTAATCTCCCTATGGAAATGTTCAAACTTCTTCAACAAGGAAATCATTCAAACAGGATGACTTAAAATGATTGAATGGTGCAAGCCAATTACATCAATCTAAATAACAGGATGGTGGCCTCCAGGGGTAGGGAAATATCTTATTTACGTTTAGTTGGACTGAAGAAAAACATCTAAGCCATTAACACAAGTTAATTCCTAAGCTTTGCACTCCTTCAGCCCTTTTTTTTTGGCCTAAACATCTAAACAACTCAAAAAACAAGAACTTAACGTGTTTGAATTGTTTTTATTGAAGCAATGGCTTAAACAAGAAAAACAAGTTTAATATCTGAAAAGACATGGTTCGAATTCCAAGCCCTCCAGGCCTCCAGCCCCCATTTACATTGCGTTACTTTATAAAAATTTATGACAACTTAAACCAATGTATTAAATCATTCAAGCTATCTCACTTCTTTCCACTATTTAAACTCATTCGGTAAGTTGAACAGCTTATAGGTGTCGCGCCTACCTTTGGCATGCCACAGTGTGCTTTTGTTCCCTACACTTTTGTACAGATTGCACGATGCCCTGAGCCCTAAGTAAGGCCCCTCCTTTTGTAAGCCTAAGACGTTCACGTCCTGCCTTGCATGAGGTGGGATGCTGCAATGGTACGATGGAGACCATGGTGGCCGTCGTTGCAGTTGATGTTTAGCCGTTTAGCCATGGTGAGGTGATCGCCGTGTGTTGGCTTCTTTTGGGTTTCTTGGTGATGAATGGCGATGAGAGGTGCAGTACGCGGTTGTGGAAGATCTAACACCAAATGCTCAGGACAGGCATGACGTCATGAAGTGAAAAGGAGAGAGCCATTGAATGGTGTGAACCTTTTTTCGTGAAGCGAAACCTCCCCCAGGAAAGGACAAGTTTGGAGTTGGTTTTGCGTGCAGAACTCTCCTTTGAAAATCTTCGGGCTCCGGATTTCTTGGGGCCCGCTCTTTATGCGTAGAAGGTCCCAGACAAGGCGTCCCCCAGACAGAAACATTTTTTTGCTTTTGTGTTGCGTAAGATGCTTTGTCTCGGATGGTACAAGGTTTGAGACGGGACCACAGGCAGCTGAGCTGTCGACTATGGGGATGAGAAACCGCTAGTTCTGGTCCGCGCTTTTGCCGTGCTCCCAGGACATTCAGTGCAAAGAAGGCCCTGAGCCTGCGAGGGCATCATGTATCAGATTTGTCATGATTTGTCCCAGCACATGGGTGCTCACTGTTTTCCGACATTTAATTTAGTTTTCAGAGTCGACAGCACTTTACAGCAGTTCTTCGACAGACCTACGATGTACGAGCGCTTTGAACCAGCAAGATGTTCAGCCACAGCAGCAGCAGCAGCAGCCCATAAGAGTATCACCATTGCCTCGTGCCACACCGGCATGTCGCAGCTGCAGCCCCAGAAGCTGTGTGAATGTCAATGCAGCCTCAGATTGCGTTCGACCGCTAGACTTGCTGGGAGGCTCTTGAGTCCGAAAAGGCGGAGAGTTGAGGCGCGTCGAGCGGGAGCCTGTGCAGATCCTTTTCCATGTCGGCACAGATGTGTGCCGCCAGCAAATCGCATGCCAGGATGGCGATGCGCACGGCTTCGTTCCTGGTTGGCTCCTTGGCACGGGGGCCGTTTCTCAGACGCGTGCCCGTTCGTCTCTGAGTTGCTGTTGTTCTCTCAGGTGCGGGTAGCGCGTGCCCAGCCGACGAGCGTGGACCCATGGCTCAGCAGGCCATCATACCAAGCGGTGTTTGGAGAGAGGGACGGCAGTTGAGCGGGCCCGCTCCGATGCTTCTGACTCCGGCTTGACAGAAACAAAGCTGACCCTTGTCATGTGGTGCCCGCCCCCGCAGCTCATTCTTCTGCGTGTGACCCAAGTGGGTAGGGAGCGCTGTGTGCAGTTTGCACAGAGGATCTGGGCATCAGGGCGAGGCCGCGGCTCCCTCCAAATCCAGAGGCGCATCCTGTGAAGTCTTGTGCGACGTCGCGTGCAGTGCGCCGCAGGATCTTGGGCTCTACCGCTTGGCACTGCAGGCATCCGAGCCTTCTCAAATTTGTCAAAGCAACCGTGTCTTTGTTCGTAGCTGCCAGGAGGGGCGGTCCCGATCCAGAGGCTCCTCTGATTGGTGCTCCTGCTCGCTCATGTAGCACGGGCCCTGAGAGGTGCTGGAACTATCGATGGTGTAGGTCTTTAGGTCTTTAGGTCTTTACGAAGTCAGAGGATCGGTTGAGGTGTCGATGGGGACTTACCATGCGTGCAACGCGGTTCGTAGATGCCACACACTTTCAACGACATGGTCTTGGTCCACCGGCTTGGTCCCAGGCAACTGGCATCCATCGCCGCATTGCCGGCAGGAGTGCGGGGTTAGGGAGGCCAGCTGGTTTCACCCCAGCCTGCAAGCTAAAGAGGTTGTACTGGGCTTGTAAGTGCAGCTTTGTGCATGAGTCCCTCAGATACGGCCTCAACGCCTTGAGAAGAAAACTGGGCTTGGTTACAGTGCCTTATGGTTGCGTACATCTGCTTGCGGCTCTTTGGTTTCACCTGGGACGATGAGGGTTGGTCGTCTCACGTTTCAAGGGTTGCGCGGGACCATGCTGTCAAGGGAGACAGGCACGTCCATTGCAAAAAAAGTCCGGTGCCACAATGCTAAATTATTCAAGGGGCTGTGCCCCAAGGCGGCAGCAGCCAGGAGCTTAAGCTTAAGCCCGAAAACCCCGAATATGAAAATGCGGCAGACGCAACGTCGAGCGGGCAGCCGTTAAAGTGGGGTGGCTTCCCATGGAGCGAGCATCATTGAGAGCATCATGGGCATCAGAGGCCTCACAAAGCCTCCAGAAAGTATCAGGAGTGTAGCAGCGGGTGGTCCTTGAAATCGGAGCAGGACCTGGACCTGGCCTCCCCGGCGGCTTGTCTAGAGAACATCACCCGTACCTCCACATTACGCAGACGAAGCCTGGTGGCTCTGAGGCCAAGGGAATGGGAAGCTGCCACATGCGATGCTCGCTTCAAAAGTGTTTGGAGAGCCTTTTCTGCAGCTCGGCTGCTGCAAATAAAGGCAGGTACTGACAGTGAGCCCTTGGTGCTCAAGGTCAGTCTTCAGCAATCGGTAGCTACTGACCGCATGGCCTGCCACGGTTGCCACATGCGAATCAACAAAGTCAACCGAGCAATCGTCAATCCACAAATCTGTGGTGGACATCGAGTGGACTTTTTTCCACAGGGTCATGTTTGACCACCCTTGGAGGGGGAGGCGGGGATGGAAGGAAAAGTTGCCTACGCAATTTTGTGGTGCCAGCCACGGATGCAGCGGGTGGGGGCTTGGGGAAACTGGAAGAAACAAAAACTACACATGCAGGCTCTGGTCGCCGCGTCAAGACGCCCTAGCTTTGAAAGCAAAAACTCGGGACTTTTCTCAGCATTTCTTTCTTAGCACCTTTGCTCTCCATGTCTTTAAAGCCTCGGGAAGTGCCAAGGGCCTAAACATGCTTGGCAGCTGCTGGGCCCAGCTGCGTGAGTTAGAGTAGTTTCGGAGATCTCACTGGCGAGCATTGTCCCCTTTGAAGCCTGGCATGTTCGCAGATCTTTTCAGTGGCGGGCTCAGGTACACTACAGCAGTACAGATGTTAGTTCGCTGAGCGCGTGCACGCAGAGTTGTTCCTGGCTTTTTCCTGGCTGCAGCAACCGAAGGCGGGTGGTTTGGGCCAGAAAGGAGGCCCGAGGAGAAGTTTGCCACGCTCTCGGCTTCATTTGGCCACTGGGACTTACTAGCGGCTAGCGCAGCCTGCTTGGTCGATCGAACTGCGAGGTCGACGAGTTGTCGAGATCCCCCGAAACCCGCTTTCACGCCGCGGCCTGCGAGTTTTGTCCGCTGTGTGCTCCGTTAAGCTTGCCGAGGTCGAAGGAATGTCGGGCCCCGGGATGGATCCTCAAGCCAAAATCAAGATCATATCATGTCCAAGTATCGACGACTACCGCTCCTGCCTGGCCCTGCACAAAAACGTATGGGTAACATATTTTTTACCCCCCCCCCCCGATATTTTTTTGACCCCCCCACATGCTGGATGCTCAGATCAAGCCAAGCTTCTCCCATCTCACAAGTCAATGCGGCCACACGCAGCAACAAGCGCATGCGTTTCACAACAAGAAGCAATTGCAGTTCATGTACACAAAGGCAGCAAGCTTGTGTGCTGTGAATTCACTGTGGTCATCGGACAGCCGCCAGGCGCTCTTCGCCAGCACGTCCTAGTCTCCGAGTGGGCTCTCAGAGCCATGCAAGGTGTGACAATCTGCCAAAAAAAAGATGTAAAAGCAGGAATAAAGCGCACGGTAGACTCACGAACTTGCTTCTCGGGATCGGAGGGGAATCACAAGCGATCCCTCTGCGAAATGCCGTGTTACTGCATCTAGGGTCGGGTTGGAGTGCGGTGCTGTCGCGCGCCAAACCCTCCAATGTTGCAGCCGATGCTGTGGCTCAAGCAGATCACACCCTTTCTCTCCTCGCCTATCCTCGCCTCGCCATGAAACTGAACATCACGCGTGAGGAGTTTGAGGCGCTCCCGCTGAGGCACCGGATTGTCCAAAATCACGACTCTAGGGAGCATGCTCACAAGGGCGACTCGGCGTCTCAAGCCCCTTGTGCTGTAGGGTTCCCGGCCCTTCCAGGGAACAAATGCTCCTCGTGGAGTTTGTGCGGAGGGCGCGCCGCCACCGACGCAAAGAGATTCGGCGGGCTGTGAAGGCTGGGACACGTTGGTTGTGAACCCACTCGAACTGTCCCTTACACTGCTTATCTGCTCAGGAATCCTGGGTCTATTGGCTGTGCGGCCTCTGCTAGGGAGCCTCGGCTGTTCACGGGCTGTCTTATTCCATGCAGTCTTCAGGTCGATAACCTAGATTCAAGTCACCAGCGGGCTGCTGTTGCGGTGCCCTCAATTGGCGCACAGTTCCCTCGAGTTCCGAGAAAGCTCTGCCAAGGACAGTGAGGATGGACTTCCAGGGGCCCAAGTTCCATGTGGGTGAACTGGCAGGCAGGGTTAGGGGGGGAGAGGGCATAGTAGACCTTATGCAAAATCCCAGAAGAATGGTTAGTTATACTCGTAGGGCGGGGATAGACCCCTCAGTTTGCTATCTCGAATGGAGTGGCAAAGGGCTGTCCAAGCAGTTCAACAGGGTGGTGCATCAATGACTGTATCTATTCGGGCGCGCTTCAGCCGGCAGCAAAGTTCAGGAAGCCTTCTCTGGACTGCAATATAACTCAAGTTTCCTGCGCGCAGATCTCCAGCGCATGAGCAAGCCAACTTCGCGGGGGGGGGGGGGTGTCCGGTATGCTTCTGTTGCCTGGAGGCTCTTTATCGCTCTCAGACTTTGTGCGCTCTTCAAAAAACTGTTAGCTTTGGACGGGGCAGGCGAGGGCTGGGCAGGAAGCGGGTTGGGAGTGGTGGTGGTGGGGGGTGGGTATAGAAATAGGTGGGAAGAAAGTGGGAGGGGGTGGGGAAGGGTGCGAGTGGGGAGGGTGGGTGGGAAGGATTTCCAAACAAGAAGGATCCAAAGAAGATGGAACCAGTTTGCTCGAACCAATTTGCTCGAACGCATATTTCCCAGACGGGTTCCTTCATGAAGCAGGCCTTTGAGAACAGGGTGTTCAGTTGCATTCGGAGCCAAGCCCGTGCAGCTGAAAAATGGTGACATCCTGGATTTCGGACCGTGAGCTCTCATTTACCGCGTTGTGTCTCCATGGTGGTTGGGGACGGGGATGTGAATGCGGCAAGTACATGCCCGACATGCCGAGTGCAGGGAGCAACATGGAACTCCGTCCACGATGCGCCCAAAGGAGCGCAGCAGCGTTGGAAGCGACCGTATGTGTGTTGAGAGCGAGCGCGCGTTGTCCCAGTGTGGCCGAAAGCGAGGATCATAATGAATGGCAGCTGTAGTACTCAAAAGCACTGCTACACTGTGAGTCTATAAGGCCTAGATGGTTGGAACCGATGCGCTTCGGCTTTCTGGTAGCGAGGACTCATCAAATTTCGACATGGAGGATCGCAGGACTCGAACATGGAGGGCGCCTTGTCAAGTGCATAGTGCCGCCCCGTTCTTGCGATGGGAGGGTGGCGCAGTGCTGTGCTGCTGTGCCTGTTGCCATATGCGTGTCGGGAGGGAGGGAGAATGCAGCATGTGAAGGCGATCTGCTTGTGTCCTACATGAAAGTACTGCAGCCCCTCGAGAGCCACGACGACGGTGCGAGCGTCCCGGCCGGCTTCGCCCTCGTGACACCGCTGCTTTTTCTGCTGGTCCAGGCGAGCGCAGGTGGCCCGGAGCTCTGGAGCCGTGGGAGGGGAACCTTGGCAACCTTGGCAGCCTTGGCAACGTGCGGCAACTCGCATGGCAACCATCTTCTAAGCTTCGCCTTCCACTTCAACACCCACAACACCCGAGGAATCCAGCTGGCGCTGAGGGCCCTGACGGTCCTCCTCGTGGGCGGGGCCTCTGGTGCCACGCAGCTCCTGGGCTGCCGGAAAACGGCGAAAATGAAATCGGAATCCGGATTTTGGGCAACGTGTCTTTCGACAGCATCTCAAGCCCTAATCCCCCTCCCCCTAAACCCTAAACCCCAATTAAGCATGTCTCCTCTCTTCTCCTGTCCCCCCTTGCCCACAGGCACATGGATCCCAGCCGACTTGGTCTTGCCGTGGCTCGGGTGCGGCAAGGGCACCGTAGCCGCCACTTGGCCTGGGCCCAAAGGAAGCCTGACACTCCTTTTTTTGGAGATGCTAAGAACCATTCGATATAATCGCTTGCGGTGGACCGAGTCGGACCACTGGGGCATACTGGGGCCATCTGCGGCGGCGCCGTGCCCTGCTTCCTTATGTTTCCTTGCCTGCCTCTTCTGGAAGCAGCGGCGCGCCGTGAGGCGCCGCGCAAATTGATTTCCTTCCTGGGGTCCTCCTCCTTTATTTTTGTGTGGGAGGGGGGGGGGAGGGGAAGGGGGGAGGGGAAGGGGAATGGGGGAGGGGCGGAGGGTTTGTCTCCTTGGATGAAGGCAGTGCAAGACCTCTCTTCGTCGTGAGTGCCGAAGATGAAAGCAGCGGTGTGGCCTGGTTGCAACCCACTCCTTGCAGCAGCAAGTCCGAGAGCACTTCGAGGACTCGAGCTTTCGGGCAGAATGCAATACATACAATATACAACCCCTTGCACTATAAGGGCACTAATCGTAATAATTTAGAAAGCCTCACGCCGACCGCCTCAGGCCTTCGAGTCTCCCCAAGCTTCCCTCCCAACCCTCTCTTGGACCAGGAGGGGCTCTTGGCCACTGGTGGAGCTTCGCCCGGATCAGTGACGCTCGGCCTCATCGACATTTAGGTGAAGAGGGGGGGGAGGGGTGTGTGCCGTGCAGCTTAAATGGGGTCTCTTTGGAAGCTGGCTCTTGTATGTACAAGAGGGAAAAAAGCCACAAAACGTGCCTCTTAATAACACGAGGAAGCTTCCAAATAAGCCCCTATTTAGGTTTCTGGGGGTTTCCAAGCCGACTTTAACTTAAATAAATCTGACAGGGGAACGCCCCCCCCCCCCCCCGGTTCCCCGGTTCCCGGATTTAAATAATCTAAATATGAAGGCCTCCTCCAGATTTGAATTATGTAAATAACTTAGTTCCGGGAGGCGGGGGAGGGCCGCTCCCCCCCCCCCGACCTTTTCAGATTTAAATCATTGAAGATTGGTTTTAACTTCCCGGGCCGAATGAAATAATGTAAACACCTTAAACATGAAGTTGCGTGTGTGTGGGTGGGTGTGTTTTGTTTTGTGTCGAGTGAGTGAGTGAGTGAGTGAGTGAGTGAGTGAGTGAGTGAGTGAGTGAGTGAGTGTGTGTGTGTGTGTGTCTGTGTGTTCTTGGCTTTGTGGGTTTCGGGGGAAATTAAAAGCACCGAAGGAGATCCAAGCATGGTGGCAGCCCTTCCAGCTCATCCTCTTCATCCAGCTCTTCTTCGAGCTAGGTGGGGCTGCCAAAACAAATCGCCTCTAAACTCTGTACTAGATCACCCACCGGACTGCAACACCTACAAACCTGCGGATGCGAATCAATGCCTCCTTTCTTGCAAATGCTCACCCCAAGTCCCTGCAAAGGCTCTCTGGGAGCATGGCCTTTGAGCAGACCATGTGGGCAAAGAGGGCCAAAACGAAAGCGAGTTTGGAAGTCGTGGGTTTCGGCTTGCTTTCATACTGACAACGGTGGCATCTCATTGTGCTTTCGACGATGAATGCTACACAGACTACACAGATGGTTTGAAAGAGCAATTTCGTGTTATCTGCGGTCCCTACCCAAAGAACATGTGCACTCCAAGCATAAACTAAACACGTGAGACCCAAAAAGTCGGCTGATCATATAGTTGCGTCACAAAAACGTATCCAAATCAAAGACGCCATGGCGACTCCAGTGACTCCAGCTTCCGAAGCACAGGTGCTCTGCTGCAGAGTTGTGTCATCATCTATTTGTTCTAATGCCCAGCACAGTGCCCTGAGCATGTGGAGTCCGCAACCACGCACCCTGAAAGCTCTGCAGCGAAGCTTTCTTTGGGGGTGGGGGGTGGGGGGGCGTGGGGGGGTGGGGTGGGGGGGTGGGTGGGGAGGGGGGGGGGAGGGGGGGTGGGGTGGTGGGGGGGTGAGATTAGACTAGATCCTCTTTGGTAGGCAATGGCTTTCTTTCCTGAAATGTCGGACTCTCGTGCAGGTCATGGACGCTGCGCTGGGTTTAGGTTTTTTTTGTTTGTAAGAAACCGCCCTAGATCTGTTCATAAGGTTTGCAGCGTGCACGGTGCCGGTCTACGGTTTTAGGGTTTAGGGTTTAGGGAGGTTCACGCTTCACGGGGTTTGCGGGTTTGGGTTTGGGTTTTTTTCTCGGATATGGGCCTGGGATGTGTTCTGGCACAGTATTGTGTGAAGGCTCGAGAATGGGGTAACAGTTTGAGCTGGCTTGCCTTTACTATTTACAGAACTTGTAGTAGAATACCAATAGAAACAGAGTAAAGAATCGGAAAAGGATATGTCCCGGTCAAGGATTCAAACTCCGGGGGAAGAAGCTTGCCAGATTTGAGGCAGTTTCTGATCTGCCACTGGACAAGGAGTCTTCACCGTACTCCTGGGCTGAGCGGTGGGATGCATCCCCGTCAGCGCAGGACGGCCCCCCATCGGCGAACTGGGGACGGGTTCTCAGTTCTACAGGTTTAGGGGGCTCAAGGGCTCAGGGAGCTTTGAGGAGGACAAATCTTATTTTAATGGGCTTAAGGGATCCAACCATGTTCTGGAGCTTGCAGGCAAAAACTAAAATCGATGCTACTACGGCAGTCATTGCTTTCCTGCGAGTCAATGGGGGCGAGGGGCTATTATAGGTTTTGTGCGACTTCAGCCAGCCTACTGTACATGCCAACGTGCAATGGGGAGAAGCCCGAAGGAAGGACTTTACCATGACTTCCGTCATGCTGTGTAGCCAAGACTTAGACTCGGCTTTCGCGGAACCCTGCGGCATCCCCGGTGATAGCCCAGCCATCAGGACCGCATACGCCGCTGCAACCTTCTCCGTGTGCTGCTTGTCTGGCGCGCCGCGTCTTGGAAAGTCCCTAAACCCTAACCCGCTTGGCGGGCTTAGGGTTCAGGAGTTTGGGTTTGGGGAGGTTGGGGTTTAGGGGTTTTTAAGGTTTAGGGGGTTAGGGTTTCGGGTCCCTCTTCCTTGTTAGCACCGCTCTTTCTTAAAGGTGCGGCGGGGCATTTTTTAAAGGGTGGCGGACCCGTGGTCCCTTGGTCATACATTGTGTTCTGGGGGGGTCTCTCCTCTCCCCCTTTTGGGAAGCCGTGCAAGCTTGCGATTGCATCATGGTATCAGGCGGAATAAGGGTTGCGAGCAACTGATATTTGTGTGCTCCGAGCAGCCCAGGACAAGACATGTTGCTACCCGCGCAGGTGCAATCTGGGGATGTGCTTGTGTGCCAGGTTCAGTTTCGGAAGAATGTCGAACGGTTTAGGGAGGCAGGGGCGGTTGCAGCTACGGTGATCGCAATCAAGCTCAAATCATGCAGCAGTCTTCCCACGTCCGAAGAAGATATGTGGGGCCTCGCAGCGTTTATGTCTTTCGGGCTTTGGGCCCTACACTTCCGAAACTTCCTAGACCCTAAATCGCAAACCTAGGGCTTTTGAGATGCTAGTGTTTAGGTTGTCAGTGTTCAGGGCCTTGCGAGTTTTGGGGCCGGGCACGGGGATGGTTAATCCAGGCGGCTTGTGGCTCTTACTGTATGGGTTCCGGGCAATTGTTTTTGGAGATTTCGGCGCGCCCATACCAAGGCCGGGGTGAGGTCCAATGGGTGGAATTGGAGGTTTCCTCGTGTCAGTAAGCTTCAGGCCGAGGTTCGGCTTTGTCTGGATAGAATCTTGGTGAGCTGACCTCGTGGCCCATGTCAGTGGACTGCAGCCAAGACGTTTGGTTCCCTCCTGCGTCCTTCGTCAAAAAAAGTTCTGACAGTCCTCGGGCTTGTCGCCCATCGTTCCCGTAGCTCAGGGCCCAGGGACCCACCCTGAAGCAAGAAAGAAGCAACAGCAGTGCGAGTTGCACGCGCCTGTTAAACCCTGAATCCTCAAGTCAAATCGGGTACACGAGGGCTGAACCCTACAGTCTAAAATATACACCCGAACCGTTAACCACAAACCCAAACCGAGAGGCCTTGCCGGCCCAATCCAGAACCCTGATCCCTAAACCCTAAACCCCAATAGAAGCCCTAAACCCTGAACCCTAAACTCTAAACTCTCAACTTAGTTTCGGCAGGTTCACAGCCCTGCAGTCTATGAATCCAGCTCCCGGAACTCCACGCTTACTGACTCTTGGTGCGGTTATCAATTGACTCTGGAATCTCCCTGTCACACCTTGAGACCCACGCTATAAGACCGTATCATCCTGGAACTTGGAGCCCTTAATCATATTGTATCACCTGGTCCAGTATGAACCGAGCTCATGATACCTTTTCCTCACGCTATCCTCACCCTCGGGACCCCAACCGCCTATCGTTCTGGGCTTTTAGACGGGCACCAGGGATAGACTCATGAATCGCTTGTGACCTTCATCATTCTCTAGACCCTGGAATCCTCACTCTGTTGGTACCTTCAAAATCTCATGAACCCCAGACCCTCAACCCTCAAGCAAGTGGACCTCAAGAGTTCTGACAGTCCTCAGGGCTTTTCCCCTAGATCCAGGGTTTTCATCCACTTGCTCCCGCAGCTCAGGGCCCAAGGACCCGGCACCCTGACCCAAAGACCGTTAACCCGAAATCCGAAACCGAGAGGACGGTACAGTCGCAGGAAATTCAACCAAGCATCCCACACCCTAAACCCTAACAGCTCGCTTGAAAACCCCATATACACCCCTAAACCCACAAAACCCCCAAGAGTTGGTCATGGTTCAGGGTTTGGGGTTTCGGGTTCGCGGTTTAGAGTTTAGTGAGTCTCTGGAAGGCAGAAGGTGGACGTGTTCAGAAACATAGGGGTATCTGTCTCGGGAAGCTTATATTGAGGAGGCCACTGTGTAGGGTCTGGATGAGGGCACAGACACCAAATGAACCCGAGGCCTCAAGACCCTAAGGGTTTAGAAGGCAATGCCTCCACTGTAAGGCCTTCAAGCCGGGGCTTCCGAGCAATCACAAAGCCTCAGGACCCTATCCAGATGGCGCCAATCACCTACGGAACGGGAGGCAGAGGGGTGCAGGGGAGGGGGGAAGATCGGCAAAGGCGGTTGGCGGCGGCTTATACTCAAAAAAGAGACGCGGGACTTCGTTAAGCGGGGTGGGGGTCGTGGGCAGGTGGAAGCGGAGGTGGGGGTGGGGGGCAGAGAATCCAACGACACTATGGGTCTTCACAAACGCCGCCCCGCTGTTGCGGTCGGCGGAGAAGGGGGTCCGCTATTTTCGGAACCCTCGTCCTAGACCCTGAACCCGAAGATTTCTTCGCGCAGAAGCTGGAGTCCCTATGCCAGGAAACAGGGCTCAGGGTTTCAGGGTTTTTTATGGGTTTAGGGGTTTAAGGTGTAGGGGCTTATAAGGGGTTTATGTGTAGGGGATTCTAAGGGGTTAGGGGTTTATAGGGGTAGGAGTTTGGGGGTTCGCGGTTTAGCGTTGACGAGTTTCGGGTGTAGCGTTTGGTGTTTGGAGTGGTTGTAGGGGCTTGTCTGTGGTTCAGGGTTTCACAGCTTGGGGTCGAGTGTACCCCAAAACTTGACCTTGATTTGAGAGAACCCACCTGGACGGGAAGATCGGGGAAGAACGGAGCAGTAGTGCAAGCAGTGTGCAAGCCGAGTGCGAGTGCAAGGGAAGTGGGGAGGCTGGACTGTGCGCAAGTGCCGCAAGTGCCGCAAGTGCTGCAAGTGCTGCAAGTGCTGCAAGTGCAGAAGATCGAGATAGGGCGCGTGGCAAGACGCGGCACGGAATTCTGCAGGCGCCGCTCCTGCAACCTGGCAGCCGCCCGCCATGCCATCGTACGGCTGGCAAAAGCCGCCTGGGGCAGCGTCTCGGTTCAATCTCAGTCCAGTGTGAGCTTGTGCTTTTGCAGGGCAGCTCTCAGTCTGAGCAATTCTGAGCAAAAGGCTTGGGGCTGGCCACAGTGGGGAGCTGCAGCTACCGGGCCGTTGCCCGAGAACCGCACATTGTTGAGGGGGAGGGATTAGAGAGAGCACGAGAGCCCTCCCCAAGAGTTCTCAAGAGATCTCAAAGGTCTGCATGGACATATCCCAGCTATCCGCAAGGCTGCGAAGGTGGTAAACAGTCAACCCTAAACCTCAAAAAGCCACCGCACCTCCAACCCAGAACCCTCAACCCCATAGCGCTGCCCATCGCTGCACCCAAAACCATCCTACACCCCAAGCCCCAAGCCCCAAACCATAAACCCAAATCCAAAGCTTTCAAGTCTTGGGCATGGCGGGGGCAAGTTTTCCTAGAAGCCCAGTTGCCTATATGATGGGTTTAGGGTTAAACGATGCTACAACCCAAAACCCTAAAACCTTACACCGGTAATTGGTCTTCCAGGGTTCAGCTCTCTTCTTGGTGAAGTGTGCCGCACATGACGACGAAGTTCGGTGGGGCTTTCGTTCTCTTCTGAGTGGGTTTGGGATTTGGGGGCTTAGCGGCTTAGGGGTTTGCAGGTTTTAGGGTTTTCGGGCTTAGGGTACATCTGTAGAGTCAGCTCGGGTGCGTGCTTCCTGCTGCTGACGGCTTTCGATCAGCTTTTCTTCATCAGGCTCATCAGCGCGTGTCATTGCGGACTCTTGACAAAGGCGTACAGCCCTAAACCTTTGAAACCCTAATTCCTTCATCCGGAATCTGGAGGGAGTGCAAGGGATGACCCTGATCTCCCAGGCCGGTCCACGGCGTGCCAGGCCGTTTGGCTTGCGTCTCATTGGTTGTGAAAAAACAGGTGTGCTGGGTAGTCTCCCTCTGCCCTTAGAGCTTGGAGTTTGGGGTTTAGGGCTTCGGGAACCTCCCCTGCAACTTCCCCCGCAACTTCCCCCCCGGCCTCCCCCCCCCCCCCCCCCCGGCGGCGAAGGCTAGGCTAGGCTCGGCGGAAATATGGGATCCGTCAATTGCAATAAGTTTTGAGCTCAAGGTCAGGCTTGAGGTGCTGGCCCACGCCTTTCCCCCCCCCCCAGAATGAACACTAAACCCGCCCTAAACCCTAAACCTTGAGCCACAAATCCTGAATCGAGGAGTTTGGGAGAGGGCACATTTTTTGTCGGGGGTTGCAGAGTTTCTCGTTGCCGATGGGCATGCTCATGACGTGGATCAGAGAGCGTTCGCGGAATTGCTCATCAGGGTACTACATTAGGACCATAACGGCAGGGACCTGTCATACGGCTTCGCCAAAAAAACAAACGAACCTCGCATAAGGTACTTTTATTAAACTTGGTCGGTAGTCGCCAAAAAATCAACCTCGGAGGTTACGAATCTTGCGGGGGCGTATAGGTGAGTGGAGGCTTGGATGTTTGGACAGGGCACCCTAGACTGAAAAACCCTAAATGCTACGCCCTAAACCCTAGACCCCAAGCTCTGTGCCACTGGGCCTGGAGTCTCGTTCAGGGAAGCAGCTGTTCTAGGGTTTAAGGGTTTAGGCGTTTAGGGGTTCAGGGTTTAGGGTTTAAGGTTTACAGTAGCGGTTTAGGGCTTAGGGTTTAGGGACGACTCCGAAGTACCAGCAGTTTTAAGGGTTTCCGGGGTGTAGGGTTTAAGGGTGTAAGGGTTGGGTTTAGGCGGCTTTGGTTTAGGGTTTAGGGCACGACTCCCAAGTACCAGCAGGGTGAAAGGATTCAGGGATTAGGACTTTAGGCTTAGGGTTTTAGGGTTGAGCTACTGAGGCGGGCTTCTCTCCCACCAGAGGCTCGCTGGAATGCAACAACGGCCGCCTGCGACTTGGCAGATGGTGTATAGGCCTAAACCCTCATTCTGACCCCTTGGTCCATTGGTTCACTGTGGGTTTAGAGTTTAGGGTTCAAGGTTTGGGGTAATGGTAGGTTTACGGTTTCCCCTCTCCCCCCTGTGGTTCGTGCTGGTTTGACGGCTTAGGGCTCAGGGTTCAAGCGGTTAAGGTTTCAGGTTTACCCTTCTCCCACCTGTGGTTATTGGGAGGTTTAGGTTTCAGGGCATCGGGTTCAGGGTTTGGGGTTTTGGGTTGAGGGTTTCTCTCTCTCCCCCCTTGTGGTCTGGGGTATTTTTTGGGGTTAACAGGCAGGATTTGGGGGGGGATACCATGGGGGTGGGGGGGGGAGGTACCATTGGGGCCCCATGGCAACCCCCTCCAAACCCTGCCTGTTAACCCTAAAAACACCACGGACCACAAAAGCCTCAGCCTAAACCCCAAACCATGAACCCTAATCCCTAGAACTTAAACCCACCAATGAACAACGGGAGGGAGAAGGGTAAGCCCGAAACCTTTGCACCCTGAACCCTCAACCGTAAACCCAGCACGAATCACAGGGGGGAGGGGGGGAAACCTATTATTACCGCAAACCTTGAACCCTAATCAAACTCTAAACCACAGTGAACCAGTGGACCAGAGTGAAAATCCTGAACCCTACAGCCTAAACCTAAACGATTAAACCCTAAACCCATGAACCACAGATCATGAACCACAGGGGGGGGGGGGGATACCGGAAGGGGGGGGAGGGGGGGGTGCGCCTATGCTGGCCCATATAAACCCAACTCCTCTAAACCCTCTGAACGAAGTCACAAGGAGCAGCAGCGTGCCATGGCCGGCAGCACTCCGCAAGTCGGATTGGCTGTTGGGGGCTTATGGGGTTTAGGGTTTGGGGGTTGTAGGGATGTTGAGGGCCTAGGGCTTAGGGTCGGTTTGGCAGCCGCGGCGCAGGGCTTCAACCTCCATTCAAGCTTAAGGCTCCACGTTTGGATGGCCTTAAACAGGGGTTTCAGGTTGCCTGTTGTTTATAAGTAAATCCATACTGGGACCCAAGAGGGGTTTAACACTGAAGAGGGCCTGTGGTTGGAATGCTTCTGGCCCTTAGAATTCTTGAAAGCCCCGGAAAAAATGGAAAAGTGTAAACCTGTAAACCCTGGAACTTTAGACCCCTACAGCCCTAAATGCTACCCCTAAACCCTAAAAGCCCTCAACTCCTACAGCCCAAACCATGTCAGGAGAGGCAGGGGCAGGGGGAAGGCGGGAAAGGGAGGGAGGGGGCGGGGATGGGGTTTTGCTGGGAAGGCAGCGACCGGCCTGAGGTTTTTTTTTGCAGAGCTAGAGGGCTTGTTGGATGTAGGTGTAGCATGGTCCATGGTCTTGGGCACCTGATGCAAGGCCGGCGCCCCCAAAACCCGAGAACCAGACCTCGGGACAGACGCGGCGCTTCGAAGATTTTAGTGCAAAAACTCCAAGCATCTTGGGGTGGGCAGATTAGCTGACTGAGCATGTTCACGCAGCTCCATTCTGCTGGGCCGAGGCCTGGCAGCAGCTGGAACAAGCAGCAATCCAAGGAAAGGTCTAGGTGCAGAAGTTTCAGTTTGCCGTAGACAGAGGTGGTTCCCAGTTCTGGGGTTAGGGGATGCTGAGCTAGCGGCGCTTGTGCGCCGAGCCTTGTTTCATACATGCCCTATCACGGCCTCTGTGTCGGACATAGTTCTACATGTTTGTCGTGTTGTAATTACCGTCGTTGGGCCTACGGGTTTGTACAGTAGCGTGCAGCGGCGAAGTTTGTTAGTTAGCACTAGTAGTTGGTTTGGAGTGCCCACAGATTTCTGCGCAGAGTCCTGTCGAGGATCCCTGGAGTGCCCACCCCCAAAGAGTCCCGCCTAGCGAAGAATCCAAGTGAGCATGATGTACGCGGTGTCAGCAGCGAGCTCACTCACTCTCACGCTCTCTCTCTCTCTCTCTCGCTCTTTCCCTCTCTCTTTCTCTCTTTCCCTCGCTCTCTCTCTCTCTCTCTCTCTCCCTTCGTTTGCGCGCGCCCATGCATGCATCCAGGAGCTGCACCAGCTTCGCCTTCTTCATCTGCCAGCAGTGATAGCAGTGAAGAGTTCTGCGGCTTGTGCGGAGCGTGAGCCTGACTGAGGGGGTGTTGGGCGCAGGTTGTGCGCAACAAGAGCGACTCATCAATCGCACCAAACACGCTTAAAGCCTATAGGCCTATAGGCCCTGGAAGTCCTTGCATCCCTTTCCTGAGCGCAAGAAGAATTCAAAATTCGCTTGATCTACAATCTGCTTTAGTGGACGTGGAGGTTCTGACGGTGGACGTTGTGGCTTTTCTTGGGGGTGCCACAACAACTCTTCCTCCACTGGTCCACTTTCGTCGGGCAAGCTGCAAACTGCAGGAAGCGTACTTGGGCAAACACACGGATTGGTCAAGCACACCGGTTGCGGTCTGGTGGCATGCCCGAGCATGTGCGCAAAACGTCGTACAGGCGGCGCAGCGAAGCTGTTATGCCGGCCAGACGTGCAGCTAGGTTTGGATGCTCCTGACATCCGCGAGACCACAGTCCCCACCGCAAAGCGGTGGCAAGAAAAGCTACGATCAATTTAGGATCTGGTTAAGTGGCGGCGGACGTTGTGGCTTTTCTTCTTTTTTTTTGTGGGTGGGGGGGGGTCCACCTGCGTCGGGCAAGCTGCAAACTGCAGGAAGAGTACGTGGGCAAACACATGAATTGGTCAAGCACACAGGTTGCGGTCTGGTGGCATGCCCGAGCATATGCGCAAGACGTCCTACGGGTGGTGCGGCAAAGCTGTTATGCTAGCCAGAAGTGCAGCCGGGTTTGGATGCTCCTGACATCCGCAAAAACCACAGCCCCCGACCGCAAAGCGGTGGTCACTGCCCCGAAACCCTAAAACCCTTGCAGAGTTGGGGCATTCAGGCATTCAGCGCATTTAGGGTATACTCTCAAGGTTTGAGATGCATCGCCTATTGGCGTCCAAATCCCACAGCCTCAGCAATCGCCTCTTTGTCATTGTCTGTAGCTTCTCCTTCCTACAGTGGTGTGAAAATGTGCGAAGCTCAACGCACGATCTAGGGCTGCTAGGGTTTGTGCAAGTGTTGAGGTCAAGGGTGTTGAGATGTTGCGGCGAGCGACATCACTTGCTAGATCGTCGGTACCGTTTGAAGCTCCGTGCACGTTTGCAACTACCTTGTCTGGCGCGCCGTGTCGTGGAAAGTCCCTAAGCCCCAAAAACGCTTGGAGGGTTTAGGGTTCAGGGGGGTTTGGGTTTTGGCGGCTTGGGTTTTAGGGTGTTTAGGGTATTAGCGGCACAAAACCAGCAAGCGGCGCAGAGCATGCTTGATCCAGAGAAGCGGTCTTTCTCTGCGGGTTTATTCTGCAGCCGATGCCGTGGCTCAAACAGATCGCACCCTTTCTCTCCTCGCCTATCCTCGCCTCGCCATGAAACTGAACATCACGCGTGAGGAGTTTGAGGCGCTCCCGCTGAGGCACCGGATTGTCCAAAATCACGACTCTAGGGAGCATGCTCACAAGGGCGACTCGGCGTCTCAAGCCCCTTGTGCTGTAGGGCACCCGGCCCTTCCAGGGAACAAATGCTCCTCGTGGAGTTTGTGAAGGAACGGAGGGCACGCCGCCACCGACGAAAAGAGATTCGGCGGGCTGTGAAGGCTGGACACATTGGTTGTGAACCCACTCCGTCCCTTACACTGCTTGTCTGCTCAGGAATCCTGGGTCTGGTGGCTGTGCGGCCTCTGCTAGGGCTGCTACGGAGCCTCGGATGTTCACGGGCTTATTCCATGCAGTCTTCAGGTCGATGAAGCAAAGTTCAGGAAACCTTCTCTGGACGGCAAGATAACTCAAGCTTCCTGCACGCGGATTTCCAGCGCAGGCGGGGGCTGGGCAGGAAGTGGGTTGGGAGTGGTGGTGGTGGGTGGGTATAGAAATAGGTGGGAACAAAGTGGGAGGGGGTGGGGAAGGGTGCGAGTGGGGAGGGTGGGTGGGAAGGATTTCTAAACAAGAGGGATCCAAAGCAGACGGCACTTATTTGCTCGAACCAATTTGCTCGAATATTTCCCACATGGGTTCCTTCCTTTGAGAACAGTGTGTTCAGTTGCAGCTGAAAAATGGTGACATCCTGGATTTCGGACCCTCGGAGAAGAATTGGCAAACGCATCATGATGTTGATGGGATTTGATTGGGGGTCGCTTCGAGCTTTGGAACCTTTGGGCATTTACTGGTGTTGTCCGCGCTTTTTTGCTGTTAGTTTGCGGGGGGTGGTGGGCCCCTAGCCGACGACCATTATGACATTGTGGCATGCAGCCCGAGCGACAGCGAAGCACAAGGATCATGTAGCCTGGTCTGTGGAAGTGTGAAGGTAAGTCGGACCACTTGGCGACTTTGGGTTTTCATGTAAAGTGATTCCAAAAATTTCGACGGATAGTACCAGCAACATCTGCCCTCACCGCATTGCCATGAAGCCAACAGTGTTGCAAAGAGCCCCGGTAAAGGCCTGTCACGTGGCGGCAAAAAAAACCGAGAATCATCTGAAAAGCAAAAGGGTGTTGTTCCAAATTTGGGCCCCCTTTAGGCAATTGGAAATTATATGATCGCGCGCCTTATTGTCAAAGAAGGTGCCCAAATGAGACCTGACTGCTCTTTTGTGCTGGTTGGGGCTTGCCGGCACCAAGAAGCCAAAAGAATCAGAGACATGCCACGAATGGCGCCAGAGCATACTGCGCACATTGGCAAAGGTTTCTGCGACCCAGCCTACATCCTACAATGAGGCTTGCGCCGCTCCAATACAAGGGACCTTTAGAGCCTCCTCGCCCCTTCCCCTGCTCTGTTCCTCGAAGATGGAGTCATGGAAGTCAAGGTGCGCATGAGAGAGTGGTTCACAGCTAGCTGGACCTCGGCAGCTTGGGCCAAGGGCGTATCGCAGGTGGGAGCAACATGGAACTCCGTCCACGATGTGCCCAAAGGAGCGCAGCAGCGTTTGAAGCGACTGTGTGTGTGTGTGTGTTGAGAGCGAGCGCACGTTGTCCCAGTGTGGCCGAAAACGAGGATCATAATGAATGGCAGCTGTAGTACTCAACAGCACTGCTACATTGTGAGTCTATAAGCCCTAGATGGTTGGAACTGATGCGCTTCGGCTTTCCGGCAGCGAGGACTCATCAAACTTCGACTTGGAGGATCGCGGGACTCGAACATGGAGAGCGCCTTGTCAAGTGCATAGTGCCGCCCCGTTCTTGCGATGGGAGGGTGACGCAGTGCTGTGCTGCTGTGCTGCTGTGCTGCTGTGCTGCTGTGCTGCTGTGCTGCTGTGCTGCTGCGCTGCTGCGCTGCTGCGCTGCTGCGCTGCTGCGCTGCTGCGCTGCTGCGCTGCTGTGCTGCTGTGCTGCTGTGCTGCTGTGCTGCTGTGCTGCTGTGCTGCTGTGCTGCTGTGCTGCTGTGCCTCTTGCCATATGCGTGTCGGGAGGGGGAGAGAACGCAGCATGTCTTGTGAAGGCGATCTGCTTGTGTCCTACATGGAAGTCCTGCAGCCCCTCCAGTGCCACTTCGACGGTGCGAGCGTCCTGGCCGGCTTCGCCCTAGCTCTGGAACCGTGGGAGGGGAACCTTGGCAGCCTTGGCAATGTGCGGCAACTCGTATGGCAGCCATCTTCTAAGCTTCGCCTTCTCTCCACAGGAATCCAGCTGGCTGGCCGCCTGGTGGGCGGGGCCTCCGGTGCCATGCAGCTCCTGGGCTGCCAGCGCGCCGATGGTGAAGGCCAAGCGAAACTGAAATCGGAATCCGGATTTTGGGCAACGTGTCTTTCGACAGCATCTCAAGCCCTAATCCCCCTCCCCCTAAACCCTAAACCCCAATTAAGCATGTCTCCTCTCTTCTCCTGTCCCCCCTTGCCCACAGGCACATGGATCCCAGCCGACTTGGTCTTGCCGTGGCTCGGGCGCCACTTGGGCCCACAGGAAGCCTGACACCCCCCCTTTGGAGATGCTAAGAACCATTCGATGTAATCACTTGATCACCTAACAAGCGTCTTGAGGCGGACAGAGTCGGACCACTGGGGCCATCTGCGGCGGCGCCGCGCTCTGCTTCCTTATGTTTCCTTGCCTGCCTCTTCTGGAAGCAGCGGCGCGCCATGAGGCGCCGCGCAAATTGATTTCCTTCCTGGGATCCTCCTCCTTTATTTTGGGAGGGGAAGGGGGGAGGGGAAGGGGAATGGGGGAGGGGCGGAGGGTTTGTCTCCTTGGATGAAGGCAGTGCAAGACCTCTCTTCGTCGTGAGTGCCGAAGATGAAAGCAGCGGTGTGGCCTGGTTGCAACCCACTCCTTGCAGCAGCAAGTCCGAGAGCACTTCGAGGACTCGAGCTTTCGGGCAGAATGCAATACATACAACCCCTGGAACTATAAGGGCCCTAATCTTAATGAATTTAAAAACCCTCACGCCGACCGCCTCAGGCCAGTCTCCCCTAGGTGAAGGGTGTGTGTGTGTGTGTGTGTGTGCCGTGCAGCTTAAATGGGGTTTCTGTGGAAGCTGGCACTTGTATTTACAAGAGGAAAAAAGCCACAAAACCTAACACGAGGAAGCTTCCAAAGAAGCCCCATTTTAGGTCTCTGGGGGGTTTCCAAGGGGGGCGCCCCTCCCGTTCCCAGATCTGAATAATCTAAATATGAAGGCCCCCCCTCCAGATTTGAATTGTGTACACAATGTAGTTCCGGGAGGGGGGGGGGGGGCACCCCCCCGTTTCAGATTTACATAATTGAAAATTTAATTTGTTTACTTCCCGGGCCGAATGAAATAAATAAAACAACTTGAATACGAAGTTGTCTGCTTCTCCTCGCCCGGAACTCTTCTCCTCGCCCGGTCTACTCCCAGAAATTCCCTGGAGTGCTCAACCTCAGAGTCCGAGACCCCGGGTGCCCAACTCCTGGAGTGCCCAACCACAGAGTCTGCCTGGAGTGCCCAACCCCAGATTCTCCCTGAAGTGCCCAACTCCAGCAACCCGAAGACCGCCCAACTCCAGAGTCTCTCTGGAGTGTCTAACGTCAGAGTCTACCTGCGTGCCCAACGCAGAGACTCCGAGACTCCTGGAGTGCCCAACCCCCAGAGTTCCTGGAGTGCCCAACCCCAAAGCCCAACCCCAGAGTCTCCCTGATGTGCTGACCCCCAACCCAAAGACTCCCTGGAGTGCCCAAGAGACTTGCTGGAGTGCCCAACCCCAAAGCCAAGACTCCCTGGAGTGCCCAACCGCAGAGACTCCCTGGATTGCCCAACTTCGGAGCGCATAAAGAGTCTCCTGGAGTGCCCAACGGAGCCAATCCCAGTTGCAAGCATATACTAAGAAAGCGTATTTGAACCAATGTGGCTTTGTTTGAACATCTTATTTGCGCTCTTTCCTTTGAATGAGGAGCAAGGTAGGGATGTTCGAAGTAAAGTAATTGTGAGTGTGTGAATGTGTGTGTGTGAGAGTGTGTGTGCGTGCTTTTGTGTGTGTGTGTGTGTGTGTTTTTGGCTTTGTGGTCTCGGGGGAATCTAAGCACCGAAGGAGATCCAAGCATGGTGGCAGCCCTTCCAGCTCATCTTCTTCATCCAGCTTTTCTTCGAGCTAGGTGGGGCTGAAGCTATGCCTAGCAGCCCAAAGCCAGTCGCCTCTAAACCCTGTACAGATCACCCACCGGACTGCAACACCTACAAACCTGCGGAGACGAATCAATGCTCACCCCCCAGTCCTTGCAAAGGCTCTCTGAGTGCATGGCCTTTGAGCAGACCATGTGGGCAAAGGAGGGCTAAAACGAGAGCGAGTTTGGAAGCCGTGGGTTTGGGCTTGCACAATATTGCCGCCAATTTATATTTTATTGATTATGATGAGAATCAGTACGATTTGTGCCACGAGTTTGTTTTTGCCGAAGATGGCAAGAAGTATGGTTTATCGCCATGAGTGCGTGCTATATTGGTCAAGATGGGACCAGAATGATTCGCTGGCACCAATGTGTCTTGTATTGGTTTATTGGGCAAAAAGGGAAGAAATACGATTTGTTATCATCTTTTTATGCTTCATTGGCGAAAATACAAAGAAGTATGATTTGTTGTCAGCAATTTGTGTTGTCTTGACAACGATGGGAAGAAGTGAGATTTGATGATCATAAATTTTGTTATATCGGTATATTTTTGTTGTCATTAATTTATTATATAATATTAGGAAGTGCTTTTTTGCTAAATTGGCAAAGATTTCAAGAAGTTCTATTTATTTCCCAAGCAGCGAAATTACGGGATTCTAGATTTAGGTAAGGAAATGGATGGTGGGATGGGATCCGGACCGGTTTGTCTTGTAATATCATATACGAGAAAGGGGTTACGTTTTGTTATGGGCATTGGGATCTATATCTTGGGATATCACATATGAGAGAGGGGATTCTATATTTTGTATGTGTCATTTGAAAAGGTTGAATTGAGCTGGATGGAAGTAGTGAATTATAATATTTAGCTCCGAAACAATTGGAAAATCTGAAAACTTAAATCTTTTCAATAAGATAGTTGCATGGGAACTACCTAATAAAACCTCAACCCTAAACCCTAAACGTATCTTTTGGTATTAAGAACTCCGAAACCATTTTCATATCAAATTTTATGCCTTTTTTGGATTTTTGAGATCCACAGCCAATGAAAACATCAATAAAAATTGTTGGCTTGTTGGTATTTAGAGCTCCAAAACCATCCCACAACTCTTGTACAGCATCACGGATATCATCAACCGTGCTTCCACCGGGATCTCAAGCTGTATGAGCCGCTGCATCTGTCGTAATAAGATATTTGTTGATGCTTCATCATTCTTCGATATCAGATATCGAACCAAATTCTTCTGCCAAGGATCTGATCCTTCACTCATTTTCTACCACATGACATTCAGATGAATCTTGTACAAGAAAATTTGCTAAGGGTGAGGTGATTCCTTTGGTGAAGGGTGGAGTTGGTCGTGGAGAGGAAGCCAGAGGGGCGATGCATTTTTTTGAAGCAGTGGACTATTTGGTGAAGGCTGGGAGTTCGGACTTTCTGCCAAAAGGGTATTTGGGAAGGGCGCGGTATTATTGTGCGGTGGTGGAGACGAATAAGGAGGAGAGGCTGGAGGCGTATCAACTGGCCCTAGCGGATTTGGAGGAGGTGGAGCGGATTGCGAAGCGGGGGCCACAGCGGCTTCATCATGCGGATTTTCATTTGGAGATGTGCAAGTTGCATTTGGTTGCGGTGGGGTGGGAGAAAAGTGGGGAGGATTGGCATAGGGGGGAGGCGGGGAGGCACCTGGAGGAGGGGGAAGCTTTAATTACTGCTTGTGGTTATGGGTTCAGAACACCTGACGTAGAGGAGCTACACCAATTAATTGATAATTGATAAAGAAGTCGCTTGCATGGATCATTTGAATTTCGATTTATAATTGATAATGGTGGTGGAGTTAGGGCGATTAATTGACAGTGGGAGTTGTGTTTTTCGAACGAGTTTATCTGTGTTCTAAGGCTTTCAGCCAAAGAACTCGCATTGAAAACCGCCCCCTGTCCCCCGCCTTCGGTAAGGCGGGGGGAGGTTATTACTTCCAATGCACTACGGTTGATGAACGGGAGGTGCATCGTGCAAGCTGGTCAAGGTGACCCCGCCCAGCTCATGAGGGCAGTCTTCGGTAAGGCGGGGGGAAGTTGTGGTGTTCAGGGTGCTGAGGTGTCAAGGATAGCCGGGTGGGGTCTTTATGGCTGGGTTTTTAGTTGTTGTTTGTAGTTGTGGTTTTGGTATATTTGGGGAGGATGAGGGCGTTGGGAGTGTGGGTAGTTGTTAACAAGGTTATTTATTGGAGGTAGGAGTGTGCGGTTTGGTATGTGGTTCTAGTTGAGAATCATTCTCCGCTTGATATAGGCAGTCCGAAGGGACTCCCCAGGGATTAGAGGGGGAAAAGGGACTTTTGGAAAGTTGAAAATTGACAATTTTTGAATTTGGGGAAGTGGGTTGTGGTTACCTTTCTTATTAATATAGAAATGAGGTTTTCCAGAAGAGTTAATTCGGTGTTGTAAGGCTTTCAGCCAAAGGAGTAGAGTTCCTGCCCTGCAAGCTGGCCCCTTCGCTAAAAGCATCCAAAGGGATGCTTTCTTAACGCTTGGTCCCTGGTTGGGGGTTTGGGTGGGGTTGGTTATATTTGGGATGGGGTTAAGATGTTGGTTGTGAGGGGGTTGTGGTCGTTTGGGTTGGCTTAGGAACCATAGGATAATTTGGAGAAGGGAATGATAAGAGGGGTTCGGTAAGATAGATAATTGTATGGTACTTCGCCCGGCAAATACATCATGGGAAAACGCCTCGACAAAGTGGCCGAGCACCTCCGTACATCCGATGAGCCTGTTGCCCAGATCGGCTATGATTTGGGCTTCGAAAGCCCAGAGCACCTTTCCCGAACCTTCAAAGCACAGTTTGGTAAAACCCCAAGTGCTTACCGAATGAGCTTTTCAGTCAATTGATTGGCCTGATCCGTCAAGCCCTCCCGCCAGCTCCATGTGACTTTTGCCGTGTTCAATACTTAAAACACGTAAAAGCAAACACCATGGAACGCATACATCCAAAGCTCCAGCTCTCAACCCTTTGGCTCTTCGCCCTGCTCAATGTCATTTTCCGTGATATCCATCAGATGACCATGAAATCGCACTTGGAAATGCTGCTCACGGGCTACTATAACGGTATGGAAGTGACGGAAGAGATCATCCTTTTTGGTGGGATCGTCCTCGAAATCCC